GCAATAATATCAAACAGCCCAGAATAAAGCCATTCCAATTAATGAGTGAAAACTTTATAAAGCTTCAGAACCACATAATGGGGAATCATGATTACCACATACTTTTATATATTTGAATCATTTCTTACAATAGGGAAACTATTCGGTATTCATACATGTAAGTTTGATTTATTTCACTTATGAGTATGGTCTCAAGCTGCGTCCATTTATTTATAAATATCTCAGTGTGATCATTCTTTATAGCTGAGTAGAACTCCATTGTATAAAAATACCACAACTTTTTTATCCATTCCTCAGTTGATGGACACTTAGGCTGTTTCCAAGATCTGGCAATTACAAATTGTGCTGCTATAAACATAGGTGCGCATATATCACTGTGGTATGATGCTTTCAGTTCTTCTGGGAATATGCCTAGAAGTGGAAGAGCTGGAACAAATCGGACTTGCAGTCCCAGCTTTTTGAGAAATCTCTAGACTGACCTCCACAATGTTTGCACCAGTCTACACTCCCACCAACAGTGCAGGAGAATTCCTTTTTCCCCACAGCCTCTCCAGCATTTGTTGTTGATGGTTTTTTGATCCTGGCCATTCTTTCAGGAGTGAGATGGACTCTCAGTGTGATTTTAATTTGCATTTCTCTAATGACTAATGATGATGAACATTTTTTCATGTATTTATTTGCCATTTGTATTTCTTCATCTGAGAAGTGTGTATTCATCTCAGATGCCCATTTTTGGATTGGATCTTTGAACTTTGGGGGTCTAATTTTTAAATATTCTTTATATGTTTTAGACAGAAGTCCTTTGTCTGAGGGAGAGTTCACTAAGATTTTTTTTCCAGTTTGTGGGTTTTCTTTTTACTATGCTGGCGACTTCTTTTGACATACAGAAACTTTTTAATAAGAGGTGATCCCGGTTATTGATTCTGGGAAGTATTTCCTATGCGGTTTGAGTCCTGTTCATGAATTCTCTATCTACCCCTATGTCTTCAAGGTTTCTACCCAATTTGCCTTCCAATAGATTTAGTGTTTCTGTTTTAATATTCAGATCTTTGATCCAATGAGATTTTAATTTAGTACAGGGTCATACTCAAATATTTCAAGGAAAGAGACACTATGGTAACTACTATTAAGTCAGGTTATCTTGTGGTGAAGCACTAGGTTGCTGAAATTGTTATGCTTTGACCTGTATTGTTATGTTGTTATGTCCTTTTTTATCTCAATCTCCCCCCTTTTTAAAAAAAATTATCTATTTATTTTATTTTTTTAATTGAGGGAAAAAATAAAAAAAAATTAGCAGGATATATTATAGTAACTTTTTTGATTTCCTATTAACTTGATTTGAAGCCCGTATTACTCCCATTATCTTGTTTTGACTGATTAGACTCTGTTCCGTTCTGTTTGATAGTATCAAGTTTGAGGGTATAGGCAACTACTTTGAAGGCAGTAAGATTCACTATGATGCCCATTCTTGTTTGACTATTATCTTCTTTTGAAGTCCTGTAATGTTTACAATGTTTAGGTTTTATTGGTCTTGTTCTGTACTATTTTGTTCAATTTTATTATACCTAATGATATAGGCAATTCATTTTAAGGAAGTGAGAGGCATTATGGTAACCATTGTTGATTACCTTGTATTCTGTTTAAAAAAAAAAAGAGTGGATGTTGGTATATGTTCGGTCCCCAGTCCTTTGTGCAGGGTTGGGTGACGTTTTTACCATAGAGCTTCCCACTATTGTTACAGGAGGGATAAAAACTGGTTATAACAGCTCTGACATCCTAGCTAAAGTAGTAAAATTAACAATAACAATAGCTTGAGGCACAGTTTAGAAACAGACCAACTGTGTAACTATTGATTTTGTACTTTAGACCATAGGAGCAAAGTGTAACAGAACTGATTGTATATTAAGAGTTTTTATGCAAAGTATTTCTCCTTGGCAGAATGGTTTTACTGTGTGGTGGGAAATTTTAGGCAGGGTAGCTTATGAAACAAACACAACTGGGAATGAAGTAGACAAAAGGCTGGAGAACAAGGAGTGTCATGCAAGGTTTAGGAAAGGAGAGGAAGCGGTAGAAAGGGAAGGACGAAGATTATTTGAGGGGTGATTTGTTTTGGGGGATGGGGTTAGTTTTATGTTTGAGTTCTCCCCAGCCCTTTAAAAAAGAGACAAAAAAAGAAGAAAAAGGGAAGAAATAAGGAGGAGGAGAAGGAGAAGAAGAAGAGGAGAAGAAAGGAGAAGTAGAAGAAAAGAGAAAACAATTTTGAGAAAAAAGTACCAGTCCCGGTTTCTCTCATGTTGATTGCTGGTCCTGTGGGCTGGTACAATATTGTTTTAAAAGCTTTCCTTTTGCTTAATAAATTAACCACCATTTCTCCATGCCATAAAATGCTCATGTAATTTTTAAATGGTTCACAACATTCATCCTAGAGACGGACTATCCTTTGTCAGAGCCCTGACAGAGACAGCTAGATGTAAAAGGCTGGTTTAGGTTCACCAAGGCCATCATTCTCATGGTGTCTCTTCTGGGCCAGACACACTGCTGTACTGCTGTGTACTGGAAAATTCAGTTTATAGTAGGGATGAAAAATTAATACACAAGCAGCTACAACCAGAGTGGCCAGTGTATACTACAGACACAGAAGATGCACATGTACGTTCATACCTGCTATGGTTTGTGTCCCCAAGGCTCATGTGTATAAAGCCTTGGTCCCTAGGCTGTGGTCGTTTTGGGAGGTCACGCTAGCTTTAAAAGGCAGAGTCTACTGGGGGGAAATGATGTCACTGGGAGCATGTCCTGAAGGGACTGAGGAATCCTGGCCCACCCTCTCTATTCCCAGCTTCCTCCATCACTTAGCAGGTCCCCAAAGCAGTGAGCCAAACAATGAACCACTGAAACTTGAAACCATGAGGTTTGCCTCAGGTATTCGGTCACAGTAACAGAAGACTGACTAATAGCTCAAGTTTTTAAGAAACAAAATTCATATTGTCTTTAACAATATAATTTTTGTCCAAAGCTCTTACTCTGCTAGCGTGGTAGAAACTCAAGTTCAGTCCACTTTGGACATCTCCCCTTCCCATGCACTGGGAGGCTTCTGTAGTGCTGGTGTGCATGTATGTGTGTGTATGTATGCGTGTGTGTATGCATGTGCATGCTGGTATGGGGGAGTGTGGCCAACTTTCCAGTCTCTCCTCAGAGCCCCCCTGGCACACCCATCACTGCTGCTAACAGTCGCCAGTCCTCACAGGCAGCCTTCAGTCCTTCAGTCCTGTGCCCGCCTCTGCATAACTCGGAGCTCTTGACATTCCCTCCAGTAAGGAGTTCTCAGCTTCACTGTCTCCGAGCCTCTTCCAGGACGTAGAAGATAAGTTTCCTTGTAAGGGAGCTCCTGGCATCTGCGTGGTCGTTTCGTCTCATGCTCACTTCTCTGCCCACTGCTGAGCGGCTCTCTCTAGCCTGGGGTGGGAGGCCAAGTGGACAGCAGTGGTTTATCTTTCTCAAATTCCCAGCTGATTTTGTACCTGGGTACCAAAGGCTTATCTGGGTGGGGAAGGAGGAGGGAGGAAACTGTCTTTCAATGCCTCAGAGATGTCATCCCTCTCAGAAGCCAGAAGAGGGTACACAGGAGAAGAGAGAGAATGCTTCTGGAAAGAGGGGACTCCCAGCTGGGATGTCATGGGGAAGGGTGGCCAGGTGAGCAGGTAGTGCCTGGGGAAGACGCCCTCAGGGGGGAAGCAAGGTGCCCGTGAGGAAGATCTGCACAGAGCCATTTGCCCACACGTGGTCAGGCTGTTGAGGGCGAAGGCCAGTGAAGGAGGCCCTGACTGACCGCATCAGCTTCAATTCACACATGGATGTTGGCTTGGAAGGCACCCGTCCGCCCAACTTCACCTGGGTTCAGCCTGTCCTAAGAAGCCCACTAGAGTTCTTTCTGAAGCGACAATGGGGCGCCCAGTCCCTGCTCAGCACAGGGGAGTGCTGCTGGACGCAAATGTGCTTAATTGTCGTGTTAATGACGGATTTTAGAAGAAGGAGCCCCACACAGTCACACTTGTTCTATAAAGCAAGGCTCAACTTCCTGGTACCTGAGGGAGGTGTAAAATGACTTAAGGGGCAAGAGAGGTGTAAAATGACTTAAGGGGCAAGATCAGTGACTCAAAATGTCTTTGAAACACTCATTTAGGGACAAGCAGTTGTTAGATTTGAAAACCAGTCTTGCCTGTGTGTACTCACTCGAGCTGTCCGTATGTGTGAAGCCAAAAGAGCCCCACGAAGCAGCACGGGGATTTTGTTTTTCCATTATTCCGCTTATCACTGAGCCAACTTAAAAATCATTCTAGTATGTGGGGGGTCCTAGGCCCCACCTGCAACTTTCTGACAGCTCCCTGTAACCTTCAGCTGGAGGATGTGAGCGCCCAGGCTAAACCCCATTTGTAGTCTTTCTGTCAGGCTGGATGTTGATGGCCCCTGACCGAGCTGGGAAAGGAGATCTTCCACTGGCCACCAGAGTGGGGAGCTGAGGCCAGCAGTCGGGCTGGGGACCCCCCCCCCGGGAGTCTATCTTCTTCACCCTGAAATCTCTGTTCAGTTTTATATCAGATTGCTGCTCAGTCTATGTCCCTTCTGCCTTCAGCAAAAACAAAATCAGAGGAGCCTGAGTACAAAAGGAGGTGCTGCAAACAACCTCCTGGGGTCTAGCAGAGCCTGCAGAGCACAGGTCGGGGCAGCTGGGCTCCAGGGGGTGAAGGGTGATGGAGCCACCGGGCGCCGGCATCTGTGGGACGCTCTCTCTGAGAAGGGCTGCCCAGCGCAAGCGTGCAGCAGTTGAAGTTTTCTTTTTGTTTTGTTTTTAAACGAACTGCGCACCGTGAGATCTGATTTCAGGGACGCTGGACCAGGAAGGAAGTGGAGCGCCAGAGCAGCCTCACTGAGCAAGGCGAGCAAAGGAGGAAGGAAGGGCCGTCACGATGAGCGCACGCTCAGCAGCACACATCCCGCGACAGTGCTTTTCTAAAAAAGTCTTTATTTATGGACTAACTAAAAACATTACATTGTCACAAACATCAGCCCGCTTTGAAAGAACTTTACATCCAATCTATGGCACGTGTGGAGAATGTCCACAGAATGTTCTGTCAAGGTCCCGCCGACAGGGGAGAATCCTAGAACACCGGGTCAGCCAGGGTCCTGCCCACCCCACCCCCCCTGCGGTTCTCTCAAAGGGAACGTGGGCAGGGGAAGGAGAGAAGTGGACCCATCACCTCAAGAAATCTGACGCAGAAAAGGAGTGTCCTTTGCAGGACTGGCCTGTTGGTCTCTCTCTGCTTTTCCACATCTGCCCTCTCTCCACTTGGACTACAGCTCTGGGCACGTTCCTCAGAGCAGTGGAAATACACGGCAGAAGAGACCTTCACCACTGTCACATGTCAGGCTGGTCTGCAGCAGGCAGCAAGGGATGCATGAGGTCTACCTATGGTCCCACGCCCAGTCTCCTGGCCGTGGTGTCCTCCTGTCCTTCGATTCCTTTTCAGCTTACATTCCTCCTCACAGTGGAGCAGTCCCAGCTCAACCCCAGCTGTTCCAGTGGAGTCCCGGTAGCGTGTCCATTCTGTTCTGCTCAGGATGGAGAACTTCAAGGTTTTGGCCTTGTTTCTGCAGTGCGCTAGCAGATGTGCTTGCTCATGAAATTCCAAGAGCAAACAACCCATCTCATACATCTGTGAGATTAGTACAGCCCCGCCCTGGCCATCCAGAGCCCTTGAGCCTGACTTGTATTTAAAGCTTTGGCAGCATCTGCAACTTAACATAAACTAAATTCTGGAGTGCACATCCCATGAGACAACCAATGAGGAAACCACTCCTTTTCAAAGTCCTGAGACGACGGTCAGGATTCTTCACCAGACCTCTCACTGTCTGGTTCGATTCTACCCTGATTCATGGTTAGAAAATCAGCACAGGTGGGTATGCAGAGTTCTGGGCCAAACCAACAAGCATGTTTCAGAAAGCGTGGTTAACTGTTAAAGCAGCAGATACGTTTTACAAAGTTCATACCGCACTACACATCAAGCATCCCTTGGAGGACAAAGGCTTAGAGGTCCTGGAAGGGACATGTCCTGGAGACAGCTTCAGTGAGATGCCAGCACTGGGTTAAATGCTCTCACTCAAGCAAGGCGATGGGCTGGGGGTTCTGGGAAGCCAGAGTTCCTAATTTTAGCATCACCTTCCGTAGGATAATATACCCCCAAATACTCTGCATCTATAAGATGTATAAGTTACCGCCCTCGGGGGACACATGGCCTCCCACAGATACCCATGCTGCAAGGCGCTGGGCAGCGGGTCCTGCAGGCTGCTGCGAGGTAAGTCTGTGCCAGCAGGGAGCACAAAATCCCTCTTGTGGGCACTTCAGGGCTGGGAGGGGAGGGGATTTGTTGCAAAAAAAAGAAGAACCAATCCCAGCCGCCTTTTGTATTTTCTACTCTAGACTGCTTACACTTTCTACAGTCAATATGTGATATTTTAGTATTGGCAATCCCTTTTTAAAAAGTAAAAATACAGTGACCCTCCAGTCAGGGCTTCACTGCTGACGTGTTGTAAATGCTGCAACCTGTGTAATGCTCAGGACACACAGGCGTTTATTGTGTGTTTGCTGAGTGAATTACAGAACAAAGTTTAGTACAAGAGAGTTACACGTTTGAGAACTATTGATTCTCCTGCCAAGCCTGGAAGTAACACCAGTTATTTCATAGCAGGGGGAAAAATACTGACATGCAGGACCCCATCCTCCCAAGACACAGAAGGTAAGGGATCTGGGGATCTGGGCAAGTGGGGATCTTTGGGATTCTGTTCCAAAATAGATCTGGCAAAAGTCCAGCCATTTTAAGGCCCTGTCAAACTACTGTTGGCATGAGGAAGCATCTAATATACAAAATAAGCAGAAACGGCCCCTGAGTGCGCAGTTACACAATCGGCAGGGTCCGGCTTGGGTCTTCTGACAGCGCTCCCAACCTGAGCCCGGCTCCTCCCTCCCTGTCGCCATGGATACCACAGCGGCTCAGCAAAACAAACAGAGGGGAAATGTGGCCACACTTTAAAAACACATCTTCAGTACTTGGACTGGGTTTTTTTGTTTTTTTTTTTCATCTTCTGCTCCTTAAGAAAAAAGTCTTAGTAATAATTTCTAGAGAACAAGAAACAACAACAAAACCATAAACATTCCTCTCTGAAAGTAAGTCCAGGTCTTCTGGCTGGAGGAAAGGACCACAGAGCTCACCCACGGGCTTCCAGGCAGGCCAAGGGGAGGACTCAGGGTGCAGGGTGGGCTCCGCAGAGACCCTGGCCGCCTGCCCTGAGACCAGCTCCTGTCACTCAGCAAATATTTCCACAGGAGTGAACCACAGCTCCTAGCAGCTCGGACATTTCCCTGGGAAGTGCAGTAGAGCCTGCCATCCAGGCTTCGCTGCCCTGAGAAGTGATAAAACACTTAAGTGGCCAAAACACAAGTTTCTCAGTTTTCAAATAAGAACCATATTCCAGATTCAGCTTAGGCGAAGGTAAACCCGTGGCGTGGTGAGTTTTCCTGGCATAAACCGAGGCGATCAGGCGATTGGAGGCACAGTGCAGTGGTCTGCCGCGGGACGGAATGGAGACTGTCGTTCCTTCGGGATCAGGCTCGTCCTCCCTTCAGAGGCAGCTGACCGTCTACCCCTGTCCTCACTGTGCGCGGTGATTACCCTCAGCTCTGGGGCTGAGAGAAGGCAGTCCCTGGATGTGCTGGTCAAAGTCTAATACTTACAATTTAAAAAGCCCGCGGCGTCTTGACAGTTTTCACTCTGGAATGGAGGAATGTCGGATGGATCTGTGGTAGTCCTCGGGACTGCTCATGTGTTCCGGTAAATCGTAACCCCTCAGGAAATGTCCACTGTTTTGCTGAGCAAAATAATACAGCTGTCTGGCTAGGAGTGGTTCCACCTTGAACAAGACATTACAAAATGTTACTGGGGCAGTCTTTTCAACATTGTGTAATTGGGTCATCATGAGACAACCCTCAAATCCTAAGGGTTAAATTCTAAGTAAAGTCCAAATTATATTCTGTAACACACCAAAACATTTATATTTAGAGCCATTTGAAGAGTCAATTTTTTTTTTTTTAGTCCTGAATACAGACAGAACCTACTTAGTTCTGGATTTCAGTTGAGGTGCAAATAAAGATGATCTTTAAAACCAACTTCCACTTGAAATTTACATTTAACTAAGACCGAATGAACATTATCTGATCAAATGATCAAATCAAAAGGTCAGGCAAATTTCAGGGTAGTTTAAACTAATGAATTTATTTTTCCACAACTGTAGTTTGACAGTGAGAAGCTCACCCTGAATGACTTCAGGCCCCCAGGCAGTCTAGAGAATTCTAACCCAAAGGATAAAAGAAAAGGAAATGAAATGAAACAGCAACCGAGCTGCTCTTAGGGGGAAGGGGAAGTCCACTGGTCCCAGGTGTGTTTGTTTTGATTATTAGTACGGACCACATTCACCAAGGTCAACAGCACCAAAACCCAGCAGAACCCTTCCCGAAGAACTGTGTTGTCCATTTGAGCCTTCGTGCTATTTGATAAGTGACTTGCATAATCCTTTTGTAAGCACCTGGGTGAATTAAGTCCATAATAAAAAACAGAACTCCTGCATGTACGCCTGGGCATTTTCCTTTATGAAGCCATACTTTGATTTGGAGGGTCACCTTGCCTTGGGACTGTTTCTGCCTGACCTGGCGGGCAGCTGTGTGGAAATCCTCACCACAGTCCATGTGGACCTGAACTTCACCACCTGCTACAAGATGCGCTTATTAAGCCTGGTTTTATTTGATTGTTGAGCTATCTCTGTTCATAATGAGATGTCAGTAATTATATCATTCACTAGAAAGAAGTTATGACAGAAGACTAAAGTCTGGGATCATATTTTTGTTGAGTGGTTGTCTGGCTTTGTTCCTACCATTAGGAAAGGTAAATTGTACGTCTGCATTTAAAGAGTGTCGTATTTTAATATTTTTCTTTCTTCCATAATACTACAGATAAAACTCAAGGTCTCATGCATGCCAGGTCAGAGTTCTACCAACAATCCCCACCTTTAGCTTCCAGTTTTCAATTAAGAAGTGATATCAGAGCTAAACTCTTATCTGAATTTGGATAACATGGGTGTAACTTTTCACCTGGTGGTACTACTGACTCTCTGGGTTTGTAGTAATGTACAATTTTCAAATTCAAAAATCATTTTTAATGACAAATGAATGCTAAATGATGCTTATGTAAGTCTGCTTTCTCTTTTATGAAAAGACGTAGACAGAGCACAGTCGCATGCATCTTAAACGGCAAGAGCCCAGGAGGAGCCACTGGTTTAGCGGATTCCTTGACAGATGTAGCTGCCTCCAGACAATTATTAAATAACTCCCAGAAGTCCAGAAGAAAACAGAGGCTGGGAAATACCTGGAGATGGCCCATCATACACACACCTGCATGGGTAACATCCGGGTCAGAGAGAGACTCCCTCCCCAGGGAACATATGCCAGCGTGACAGCACTTAAAAGCCAGGAGACATAAAGAACTTCAAAGGCAACTTTTAGGGTCAGTCCTTCTGAGTCTGAGAAATGGGAACATGGCAATTTGACGTGTAAGAAAGACGGGCAGGCAGAGTCCTTGGTTTGAGTCTCTGGTCTGCTCTGGCTCTGTGACGGTGACCTCAGGGCAGGAAGTGGCCCCGTCCCTGAGCCATGCTGTCACACACGTGCTTCCTCCTGCACATCTCCAGGGTTACGTCTGTTTCCCAGGTCACCTGGCACTTGACTGTCACCTGAGCGTCTCTCAGCGGAGCCCTGCCCCCACCGCACCGAGTACTCACGTGGGCCGTGATGAGCTTCCTTTGCCGCTGAGGATCTGGAAACTCCTCCCCGAAGCACAGAGTCACCTGGAAGCGCGGCAGGGGTCGGCTGTGGTGAGCGTGAGCAAAGGCCTGCAGCTCTAAGAAGACAGAACCGGTGTCAGCGACCAGAGCGGCCAGGGCGACACAGAAGCAAGAGCGCTGTGTGATTCCTTGCGGGTGGACCCCTGATCACCAACGCAAGCCCTTCCTGTGCAGTCCTCAGATACCAAATCCCACACGCACAGGCACACATATATGCACTTGTGTGCACGAGACCATTGGTATGTGGCCCGCCGGGCACTCAGCTTGGTTCCCTCTGCTGGGGCGGGGGCTGGGGAGGGAAGGGCCTAGGCTCGAGGTCCCTGCTCCTCAGCACCGGCCCATAGGCAGGCGGAGGTGGCAGAGAGGGGTGAAGAGGGAGGAGAAGGATAAGCAGGAGGCCACATGGAGCCAAAACCATGACAGACGCGCGGAGACATCTTTACTAGGAAATCAGAATGTGCCCACACACTAGCATCGTCCTGAAGCTCCACCTGCTGACTCAGGAGGCCAGCAGGCCAGCGTTTATGCTGCCGAGGACACATCAGTAACCCAGGGACCTCTCAGGCACCAGCTACGGGCAACTGCCCCCACTAGGCTCTGCGTCTTGACCACAGCGCGGGACTGGGCAGATCTCTGGCCTTGTCCTGGGAACTGAACAGTGATGGGCTGGGCACTGACCTGGCCCCATGGCCCCCAGCCCCGGGCCACTACTCCTGCCTGATGGGTATGAAGCAGAGGGCAACACTGCTGGCAAGACGCCCCGAGGTGGGGGCCGGAACTCAAGGAAAACAAACAGTAAAGGCCAGTGTCTATCCCCTGAGCCAACGCCTGTCCCTCTGTCAGAGTCAGTCCTGTCTGCAGAAGGCCCGAGAATAACAGGAGCTTCTGCGCTTCCGCAGAGCAGCTGCACTGCCACATCCTCATCAGATAGGCCTCTGGGGACCGTCCCTAGCGGGGTGAAAATCCTGAATGGGTAAGACAGCGAAGATTTCCACTGCTCTGTGCAACTGAAGAGTTTCTAGCTAACTCACAGGACCACTTGACTTCCTGCACCTTTTTTTTCTTCCTGAGTTCAAATCAAACCTCACCAATGAGTCAGACTGTGTGAAGCACATTCCCAAGCTGTGGCCTGGGGTCCCCCACATGGCAGTGGCGGGCAGGCGGGCACTGCGCCCCGAGAAAGCCAGGCCTCTAACGCTCGATAGCGTGAAAACGTTCGGCAGGATCCCTCCTTGTGCACAGCTGCGGCTTTGAAGCTCACAGCATCCTCTGTGACCCTCAGGGGTTGTGGTACAGGCAGAGCGCAGGCGCCAGCTATAGAGGAAGGTGAAAGACGCAAGAGAGAAGGAGGAGCCCCTGCCCACTGATAAACACACAGTGCAAGGCTGGGGAGTTGGCGAGCCCAGGTGCTGGGCTCCTGTACCTGCCTCTGGGCCTGTCTGGGCCATCGCGCATCTGGCAGCCCTATCTGTCACAGCGGGAACCTGCTGGCTCCCTGCAACACACATGCAAGAGGAACTCAGAAAAGCCAGTGCCGGCTTTCTGGAATGCCTGAATCAGGGCTCTGAGCTACAGCTACCAAGATCTACCGTCTCTAATGAAGCACCAGCCTGGAGGCCCCCTCTCAGGACACGGAGTGCTCTGAGACCCAGAGGCCAGCAGAGGTGCTGCAACGGGCCTCTCGGAGCTCCCCACTCCTCTCTGCTCCTCATCAGCCACACCTGCTTGACCACAGCACAGGCTGCATGGCCCGGGAGTGGTGCAGGGATGGCTCTGCGGCCTCCACAGAGGTCCTCTGTCCCACATGTGGTCTTTACCACACAGTCCCACAGAGCGGCCTCTTGCTGCTCCCCACCTCTGTGGGAAGGCTGCACCGAGGGAGTATTTGTTCTAGGCACTGCTGGAGAATTCCGTGGATCTATGCAAAACTGGGCCACGTAAGCCATGGCCAAATAAATGCTGGCAGTGCCAGACACACAGGTGGTTTCCATTTTCACTTGAACTGAGTTCTGCCATGAATCAAGTTTAGGACCCAGCAACTCCACTCCTGGGTATGTACTCCACAGAAACAAAATCAGCATGTCTAAGAGGCATCTGTACTGTGCACCATCAAGATAGCACATCAACCTAAATATTCACCAACTGATAAAGAAAATGTGATATACACATAACAGAACACCACTCCGCTTTTAAAAAAGGAAATCCTGTCATTTGCAACAATATAGATGGACCGTGAGGACATATTTTCAGTAAAAGATGCCTGAAGCCCAAAGACAAATCCTGAATGACCTCAGTTTTCTAGAGTGTTCCAATTAGAAAGCCTTTAACCTGTATCTCTGAATCCAAAGGGCTGAATTCACATGGGCAGGGAGTAGACTGGTGGTCACCAGGGCTGGGACAAGGGGACTGGGAGATGGAGGCCAGAGGCACCTACTTCCATGTAGGAGGAATAAATCCCACACGCCTAGCGTGCATCGTCCAGGCCACAGCTACAGTGACCTGCCGCTTCCATGAGTTCAGCTACTTTGAGGCAGACGGTGCACTTCACGTTTGAGAACTGCTCGGAGAGCAGGCTTTCAATGGTGGCCTCACCACACAGCATTGCAGCACGTGTGTAATGCATGCTGACGAGCTGGACTCGTCTGTTTTGTGGTGTGTAAAAGCTGCAAAATAACAGACTGTCCCCATGTTCAGGGCAGAGAGTCTCGTGAAAAACCCAAGACAGGGTGCTCAGAACAGGGCACTTGTAAGAGGACAGGGGTGGGTAAGGAAGGGACAGAACTGGCAGGTGGGTGGCAGCCTCTCCTCCCCCTGGAGCTAAGGGATGCTGTGGAAAAAACCCCACCACCGCATGGCCACTGACTTCACGGATGCCAGACCAGGGCTAACTGAACTGTCTTAAAATCAAAACCAGAACAACACAGCACACCGATTCTGGAAAGCATTCCAAGGCCTGAGGCCAGGTGAGGCCACCCATCAGTTCCCCTTGGCTACACTGATTCAGGACACTGCTGCCCTGGGTCCCCCTGCAGGGTGGTATCTATCTGGGGTGATGCAGCTCACAGCCAAGAAGGTCAGCAATGTACCTAAAACCTCTAGCTTTTCAGGAACCTCAAAAGAGCTGAGGTCGCAGCAGCTAGGCTTGATGAGATCTTTGCCAATGAAACAGAATGGTGACAAAGGGCGGCTGTGGGAACCAGAAAGCAGAGTACTAGGCCAGAGTTATCTCATCTGGACTCTGGGCCGCTGGGCACAAGAGGAAAAGGTGACAGGAGCAGATGTGGACTGGACAGGCAGGGCCTCTCTCCTGGGACAAGGCCCAGGCTCCTGTTACCTCCTGGGGGTAACAGGAGGAGAATGCTGCCTGGGGGAGCAGGGACCCGTGCACCCAGCATGACCATCGCCACCTCTCCCAGCGCCGGCGAGCTTACCTGACAGAAACTGCTGCGTGTCGAAGAGCTTGCACGTCTGGTCCCTCTCCAGCTTGTTGGGCCGGTCGCTGCACAGCGCCAGGGGCCCATCCCAGTACACCCTGCTCTGGCACAGTCTCTTGGCATAAAGCCCATCGGGGGCCATCCACAGAACCACGCCCCGCTCCAGGTGGCTCAGCAGCTTCTCGATGTTCTTCCTCTGGCCGTTGTCCTCTGGGTAGGGGAACAAGACTGGGTCCAGGTTGCTGGCATCATAGGTGTGTCCATGGGAGATCCGGCAGCCTTCAGGGCTGGACGTGGTCACCTCCTTCACCAAGATTTCCCGGTAGTACAAGCAGATGTGCAACCGGCAGTCTGCAAACATGGAGCTCTGCAGTCAGTGCTGAGGGGCCCAGGACGCCCCCAGAACACCCCACAACTGCCCAGAACAAAGCGCGGTGGTGGATTCTGGCTTCCCAAGGGGCTCGGGGAGTAGAGGAGCAGCTGCCGGGTCCCAGAGGTCTGGGAGACACTGTGGGTGGGTGCTCCTTTCCGCCTGGAGCCTCACTCCTGGCACACTCACTTAGAGAAGCCAGCAGTGCTCATGATTATGCGGCCATGGGTGCTTTGGGTGTTGCTTTGTTTTTTTGAGAAAGGGGGAAGCATATATTTCGTTAGTTTTCTGCAAAATACGTTTAAGTCAAATGAGAGACCCCCTGTGTCAAAGAATGTAAAGAGTCACATTGGGGATGATGGTGACAATAATTACATCTGAAGTGAGATGTCACTGAGTGAAAATTCTTCTTGAAGTAAATCTTTTGATTTTGGAAAAGGGGAACTCTAAGTTTAATTTCTATGAGCAAAAAATTATTTAAGGGTATTTCAGAAAAAAAGCAAAGTATGTCCATACACGGGTAAGCTCCCTAAAGTATCAGTCTAGCATCAGCTGGGGAGTTAGGATGAGAGACAGATGACAGGACAGCTGGATGACACACGGATAGAGGACAGAAAGCAAGCAGGCAAGCTGGGAATGAAGCCCTTAATTACAAATGGTGAGCGCTGGACGGTAGAATAGGATGCTTTTCTTTGTTTTCTCCTTTTGTTTTTGTCTGGTTTTCAAATTAGTTTGTTACAACGGGGATGTGCTGCTCTTATCGTAAAATTTATTCTAGGGGAAGCCAAGGAATTAAGGCTGGAACATAATGCGCAGTGCAGCGTTTGCCTGGGACCTGCGAGGACCTGGATCCCAAGCCAGCGCCAGAAGGCGGGGGCTCCCTGAGCGAAGGGCCGGGGCCCTGCACGCCGCCTCTGGCGGGAAGCCTGCTGCAGTCTCACTAGGCTGGTAACTCTAAGGCTGGGCTTCCTACACCTTTTAAACAACTAGCTTAAAAAGATGAACTTATTTATAGAAGTTTTACTGGTTTCAGAAACCTCTTTAGGATCCCACCCACAGGCTGACAGAGCAAGCGAAGCTGGCGGAGGGCTCGGGAGAGGCGCGGGGGACCCGGCGGCGTCTGGTATGGGATGTCTGTCGCAATGGCTGGAAATCGCAGCTCTCGGATAGATGCACCCACGGTTGATAATTAATCTGCATTATACACAGCAAACAAAAGAGAAACCCACAAAACCCTCTTATTCCTCAGGGCAGGTTCTGAGATTTAACCCACACCACTGTCTCTTCCATTTCTGCCTCCGCGAACCCAGTGAGACGCAAGCCGGCGCGAGTGGGTGTCGGCTATCAGAGGTGACACTCGGGGCAGGTTTCATTTCATTTAATGTCGTCAGAAATCACGAGGTTGCAGAGATATAAATAGCTGTTTATTTCCTATTCTTCAGGCAAGCACACAAGTCTTAGGTGCTAAGAGAGGGTTTGAAAGTTTCTAAAAACAAACACAAGCCCTTCTGCTCCGAAACGCCTCCCCCCCCTGAGGGATCCTCAGTTATGGGTAAGCAGCCTCGAGGGAGAGGCACATGCCTCCCTCAGAAGGAGGGGACACTGCAGCTCCCTGCCAGCAGACAAGGCCCCAGCTCCTCTCCCTAAAACCTGCAGAATTTAGTTCATGTTTTCTGCCAGTGACTTTTAAGGAGGCTGAGGCAGGGTGAGAATCCCAAAGCCTAAGCTGTTGATTTTTACTATAGATTCAAATTCTATCTTGCATTTAAGAACAATGCAAAATACTATTTAAAGACTAAATTGTCTTGGAGGACAAATGCTTAGGAAGTGCCCTCCTCAAAGTGGACCAGTGAGGATTTTTCTAGAAACAGATGTGTAAGTCAGACTGAATCCCCGAATCCGTATTTGTCTGCAAGTCTGGAGAGAGCTGGGAAGACTCAACAGTGTGCTCTGCCTGGGGCCAGAGGCAGCATACTGGGGCAGTCAAGAGCCAGTCTGAGGCTGACCCTGAGGGGCAGATGGCTTCTCAGAGTGGAAATTTTTATCATTTCGTAGGAAACTGTTCTGTGCGGTGAGACTGCTGGCCACAAGGACCTGGATGCAGGACACTAGGGTGTCTGTGCAGCCTGGAGGCTCAGGTGGGCATCAGTGGCGAGGTTAAAGTGCCTCCATCCAACCCGCACTAGGATCTGTTACCAGGGCGCAAACTACCCACTCCCCTGAGAAGCTTCCAAATAGGACCCCTCACTGTTCGTTGCGCTGACTACACAGCCCAGGTGCTGGGATCTATGCAGCCCACTGCAGACCCGAGGATGCAGAGCTGGGATCTACATCCCACCCACACTACCCAAAGGCCGGAGGAGCTGAGGAGAGGCTGGCCTCCCGCAGGGCATCCAGCCCTGAGTGCTGCACTCACCTGAGAGGGCCAAGGCTTCGGCAGACCTTATGCTTGGCTCTATGGGGATTCCGGGAGCCTGGGATTCGGGTGGGGCACAAGCATAAAAGGTTCCTGTCACCTGGCAACCTGCATTTGCAAATAAAAGTCAGAAGCAGTCTAAAGAGGACTTGAACGTGTATGCACTGAGCCCAGCCGGGTCACCTTCCAGCCTGAGCCCAGCTGGCAGAGGGGGCACAAGCTCTGCAGGCAAAGACAAACTGAAATCCAGTTGGAAAACCCAGGCCAAAGCGGGAGGGAGCCACTGCACAGTGCTGCAAGGAAACTCACAACTCTCCCCATACTTTATGAGTAGGGAAACCGAGGCTCAGTGAGAGACCAGCAGATCCACTCCTGTCCACCCAGCAAACCCGTAGCAGGGCCCTGAACTCAGGCTGGTGTGTCTCTGACACACTCACAAAGTGTTTAGGCCGGGTCTGTTCTGCCTGGTTCCTTTGGGTCTGGGAGACATCAGAGCAGAGCTCAGGCCTGCAGCCCTACTGTGTGGACCCTGCATGGAAACAGGATGCCACACAGCTCAGAGCACTGCCTCCCCACTACCGGCTCATTTGCTGACCCCAGCTGATCCTGGGACACAGACCTGGGGTCCAGACATGTTAGCTGCTTCCTGCACTGTGATTTGGAACAGCATCCTTCATCGCAAATCACCCTTGAAAAGCCCAAGAAACGGACTTCTGAACTTCTCCGCTTACCATGCCACTCAGTACCAACACTGAACAGCGATATACTTCTCCAATGCCAGAAGGCAAGAGTGCTTTGGACAGGACTGGAAGTGGTCACGTTACGAGGGAGTGGACATTCCCAGAGCATAGCAGAGGGTCAGGGTGCTGACACATCTCAGGACCTGCACCCCAGCAACTGGTTCAGAAGCCCCAACAGCAGGCACTCGCTGTACTGCATGCAGCTTGTAAGTTTCTTTGCACTTAGCTACTCAAGATCTGCTGTGTGGTCCCACTGGAGTCCGGGGGACCCCGCTGGCCAGCAAACCACACCCAACTCTGAAGAAGCGGGTCTTGAGGACCCAGTACAGCCAGGGTCTGGTGGAAACATTTTCTTCCCTTCTTTTTGGTGTTTATCCACCAAGAACAGTGAGGCTTGGACACACGGCTGGTCCAGGGACAGAAGTGAGCTCAGGACTGGCCTGGTGTCCCCACAGAGTGGGGACCAGAGTGAAGGCCAGGTGGACAGAAAAAGACTGCTGAGATTGGGGCTCTCCATCAGCACTAAGAGAAAATTCAGGAAGGGGGACCGCCAACATCTATCCCATTTTGCTTACGATGACAAATAAAGATGATTCAGCCATGATGAAAAGTGTTACCACATTAAACTTGAACAACATGTCAACAGCACATGGGTGCCCACCTCCTGTCTCACGTGGAAGAGGGGTTGGGACCAGGAGATTAGAATGGAGCCCAGCCCCTCACTCTTCCCAGGGGACCCGGGCTGGTTACTCCCATTCTGGGAACTTCCAAGAACTCTTCTAGTTTGTTAAAGGGCAATCGTAGCTTGCTGGAATGATGTCTGGGTATCTAATTAAGGACCCACACAAGGTAGGGCTGGCTCTGAGGGCTTGGTCAGCACTGACAGAACACAGCTGTCTCTTCTTCTCTGTATACTGGGTCTTTATAGGCACCGCCGAGGAGCAGGAAGCCTGTGGTGCTGCCCAGGGGACTGCCGGGGAACCCCCTGCCCATGTCCCATCCACTCCCCATCCCTGCCCCAGCGTGCCCCTTACCATTTTCACAAGCTGGGCCTTGCCAGTGGTGGCTGCGGGGACTGAATGGCACGGGGTACTGATAGATGTCCGAGTGTGACTGGTCGGGTACATAGTCCCTCCAGCTGCGATCGTGGGGTGGCATCATGTAGTTATGGACCTGCTAAAGGAACACAGGAGGCGGTGAGCCCAACAGCATCAGCGTGGGAAGTGGGGTGCTTTCACATCCTCTCAGACGCCTCAGAGAACCCCTCCTTTGGCCAGCAGCCAAATCATTTTGTCTTTTAAAAAAGAGTTGTGCAGTCCGTTCATTGGGCGGGTGGCTGGAGCCACACAGGATGGGACGGCACAACGGGGACCCTGGAGGGCAGCACTGACTGGGGAACAGCAGCGTCAGATGGTTGAGCTCGGCACCAAAAATACTGCAGGAGAATCTGCCTTCTCTTCCCACAGAGTGAGCCCAACAGAGCTGCCATTCACATCAGAAAGGCCTGCAGCCATCTGCGGCCCTGTGGTTTCACATGACAGTGCTCTTCGCTTCCAAAATCTTCAACTGCTGCAAGAGGCCAGGTTCCCAGAGGATCTGAAGAACCGGAAGAACCCTACTCCGCCAGCAGCAACCCCCGTCTTTCCTGGTGGTGGCAGTCCAGGGAAGTCGGACCACAGTGACTAGGGACTGTGTGGCCGCTGGATGCATCACCTGCAGCACTGAGTCCTCTACGGTGTCTGGGTCCTCTGCTGTGCCCAGCACAGAGACCTGGCCCGGCCCTCCAGGCCCTCCAGAACCTATTGCCCTCCTCATACCTGGGCTGGGAGGGAGGCATATGGCGTGGTCATGGAGTAGGGGTGTCCGATGGCTACCTGCGGGTCCTCCAGAGTGAGCTGCTTGGCTCCTGTGTGTTTGCGGAAGAGGGAAATGGCAGAGTGAAAAAAGGAACTGACTTAATGTCAAATCTTGGAAAAATACCTGAGGGCTTAATTCTTAGAAGGCATAACACGAGGCTGACAAATAAGGCGTCTTCTGGCCACCCAAGGTCTGACCTGGGTGTGACAGGTAAGCTGCTGCTGAAACTTGGTGTGTGAATGTGCCTGTGTCTACCGAAAGGCTGCGCCAGGGGCAGCGTTAATTAACTGAAACACAGACTCCTGAGCTCTGACAGGGAAGCACTGGTCTCACTGCTGAAAAGAGAGGACCACAGGTCTGGACTGTAACAAGCACCACTATCCTCTCAAAAGCTGACATTTGTATTATTATAAGTAGTAACACTTTTGTGGGTATGGAGTAGTCTTTCCCGTCTAGAAAAGTTACTAAGAGCTATTAACTATACAGAGCTTTAATGAGTCTTCCAGGATTTCTTTTGGCGATTTAGTCCATCCTGTAATGGGAGACACACACACACGCGCGCGCACACACACACACACACACACACACACACGCACACACAGAGGCTTAGCCTCCATGAAACAATCCTACACCAAGATCACAATATTATCAACTCAGAAACCACAGAACTTGGGCAGAGGCCCTGCTGGGCTGTACAAAATCAAAACTAGAAAGTGGCCGTCAGACGAAATGAAGGCTGTAAGTATCAGCTGCCCCCTTGCCCAAGGAAGCCCCTACCTTTCTTGGCCCCCTCGGGAACAATCCTGTACACTTTGTACGGGTCGGAGATGTCCAGCTGGCTCCTCTCCACCAGCTCCTCGAAGTCGTTGCTCTTGTTCAAAGCGCATCGCAAGCGGGTCTTCCAGGTGGGAGGGTCCGGCTTATCGATGCCTTCCCGGAACTTTCCCTTAAACAGTGCCCACGCCTGGGAGGACAGAGCGGAGCAAAGCGAAGGTCAAAACAGGCGCTTTTTGGAACTCAGTCTCAGCATGGTGCTTCCAGTTCATACCGAGGCACAAAATGTGGCACAGAAAGACACCAGGTGCCTCCTAGGTAAAGTAATTCTCCAGGGCTTCTGATTGCCAGGTGGGAGAGAGTGGCTTGAGCATTTTCTGGGTGTTTCTGAAAGGTGGAGTGGGGCGTGGAGGCGCCTGGAATGGGCTCTGCTCACCCTGGCTGGGACTTGCAAGGGGGAGGTCCCTGCAGAATAAGTGTGGGGCCACACAGGCGAGGTAGGGACAGCAAATTCCCGGAGGAAGTCCCCGTTAGGCCACGCAGGTGCTGCCTAGGTCTGAAGCTCCCTGGGGAAACTGCTCCAGGGTGTGCACAGAGGAGGGAGACAGTGGGGGGGGGCACCGAAAGTGAGGAACAGCAGAGACAGAAGCAGCCGAAGAGCTCCAGAGCAGGGCAGAAAAAAGCTAGAGAGAGATGCGGGTGAGAAAATCCCAAGAAGAGAGGACAGGAAAGCAGGGAAACAGCAGGAAACACAGAGACAGCTAAGCCTGAGGTCCTGGGGTGCAGGACCGGGTCCTGAGTCCCGGACTGGGTAGAAAAAGAGATCCACGCCGCCTCCCCCGGGCGCCACGTCCGGGCCGCCTGACCAATCTCTGATCGCGGGACTCCCTGGCCCCAGGCTCAGCATCCATGTATCACGGTACAGGTTTCCTCTGGAGGCGCAGTGGCTGAGAACTGGGACCCCGGCGCCCCCGGCCCGCCCGCCCGCCGTGGCCCGCGCCGGCGACCTTGAAGAGGGCGGCGTCCTCCTCGCGGTTGTAGTCCTGCTTGCCCGCGTGCTTCCACGGGATGCGGAAGATGCTCTTCTCCTCGTTCTCCCACACCAGACCCGGGTACTTGCCGCTGTCGATCTGGTCGATCAGCCACTGGCGGAGTTTCCCGTTGCCGCAGCTCACCGCGCTCATGCCGAAGTCCGCGCCGCGCCCGCCGCCCTCCAGGTTCATGCCGAGCGCGCTGCCGGAGCCGCTTCACCACGCGCTGCGGGGCGGAGGACGTGAGCCCGGGCGGGGACGGCCGCCCTCCGTGGGTCCCCTCCACCCGGCCGTGCACCCTCGCCGGGCTCCGCGCACTCGCGGCCAGGAGCGCCCCGTTTCCCGCGCGCCCCGGGCGCACACTCAGGTGGTTCCCGCTCCCCTCCGCCCCCTCCCGAGCCTCTGCATCCCGTTTCCTCTTCATCTCAGTTTCCCCTTTCGCGCCCCCGAGCCGCACTGCCCCGCCGCCCCGCGCACACCGGGCCCCGCACGTGGGCTCGCCCGGGAGGGCAGCGCCCGCCTCCTCTTTTCACTGTGCCCCCGGGAGCCGCAGCGGCCCAGCCAGCGAGGACTAAAAAGTCCTTCGGAAACCGCATCCGAGGCTGCGCCTGGGGCCAGGGAGTCCCGCGATCGGGGAGCGGCAGGCGGCCCGGGGAGGCGGCGTGGGTCTCTGCTTCCACCCGGTCCGGGACCCCGGTCCTGACCCTGCATCCAGGGCAGGCCTCTGCCTCATGCTTAGCGGTCTGCTCGAAGGACCCTGTAGGCCCTAAGCGACAGGACCGGCTCAGTGAGGAAGCCGAGGCAGGAGAGTGCGACGCCAGCTCCGGCCCGGCCCGTGGAAGCCGCGGCCACGCGCAGGACGCTGAATGCCCACATCGGGCGCGCTCGGGGTCCTAGGCCGGGCACCCTGCGCCCCGGCGTCGGGCTCCGTTGGGGCCACCGCTGGCCAGGACAGTCGGGTGCGCGCGTCGCATGCGGGGCGACCAGGACTGTGTCAGGGACGCGCCTGGAGCCTCCTGGGCCCTCGAGGGCGACCCTGACCCGGCGACCCCAACCTCTCCAAGTGCGCCCCCGCGGCTACTCTGCGCAGCCGGGGTACGGGCCTTGCCCGACCTTGTCACCTCCTGTCCCTCCGCGTCTCGCCCAACTCCACGCCTTACCTCGCCGGGACTCGGGGCTCAGGGCGCTGTGCGGACCCCAGTTCAAGGGCAGAAACAGCGCGAGGTGAGAAAGAGGAACTTTATATCGGAGCCACCAGGGGGAGGGCGTGGAGGGCGGGGCGAGCGGCTCCGCCTGCCCCGGGGCGGGGCCCTCGTGCCTCCGTCGGGTGCGGACGCGGGACCCGGAGACCTCAGCAGCCTTAGCGACCCCGACAACCGCGGGGCCTGGCGCACCTGCCCGAGAGCGCCTCCCGGCGCGCTGCCACCCCGGACCTGCACGAGGGGCTGCGTGCGCGAAGGGCGCGGCGCGGACGGAGGGGCGGGAAGTGGGGCCCCGGGTAGTGGAAATCCGGCCCACAAGGGACTTGGCGCGCTGAGCGGCGGGGGATCCCGGGGTCGTCCCTGGGGAGCCAGTTTGGGGCAGGGCGCCTTTGGCACTGTCGCCGGCCAGAGGGAGCCCTGCCTCTCCGCGCGGGGACCACATCGCCCTCGCTAAAAAGAACACAAGACGTGGTCCAGACCCCTTCCGCTATGAACTGTGGCCCCAACACTGTGCTCCATTAGGCAAATGGATGGGGACGCTGCAGCCCGCCCCCGCCCCGAGTTTCAATGATGGTAACGCGAGAGAAATGGGGGGTTGAAGACAATTGCTCCCCAACGGCAGTTCACTTCATAGTGGCATCACTAATCCGTGTCCTATGGGAAGCAGTTTCTTAGTGGAGCATTAATGTCCAAAATAGAATAATCAAGCAATTCTGAGACTGGCTCAGTTTCCCAAGCCGTCTTCAGTCTCCACAGTGAACCCCCAGAGCCTGCCTCGGGTTGCCGTGGGCGCGCCGGCCGGCGTGTTTATTTACTTAGCATTTGTAGGTAAACCCTCCAATCCAAGTTTCTGTATGATTTTAGATCACCACCTTGCGTGGTCAACTTGCAACTTTTGAACAGCTTTTGATTTCACTTATTTCTCAGTTCGTCTTTTAATTTTCTATCTTGGAGGAGTAAAGGAGTCCAGGCCAGAGCAAAGAGGCAGCGACGGGCAGATCTGTGCTTTCCCTAACCCTAACGGACTTTCTCAGAAAGTAACAGGATGCTGTGTTGCTCGTTCACCTAAGTAAGTTTTCCATGAGTCTCTGTTATAAACAACAGGGTTTCGTTCAAAGAAAAATTCTGGCCACAACCTGTTTTTCCCTTTCTTCATTCATTCAGCATATATTTCTGGGCACCTCCCACCCGCTTACTTCACCAACCTGAGTTACTTGTTCCTAAATGTGCACAAATGTATGCGCAGAAGACTGGGAGGACTAAAATGACGGCGACAGCGTTTGCACTGCCCTACAGGTGGGCCCTGCACTGGGGTTAGTCAGTTCAGGATTTTCCTCACCCATGCACACTCTGTCTAGAAGTTCAAAACAACAGTCACTGCACGATTTTTAAAAAATTTACACAGCCACCTTGTGTGAGGAAACCACGGCTAACCTTGAACGCCATCTTCTGGTTTACTTGTTTGTCATCTGCAGCCACTAGAAGCAGGGTTTTTTTTTTTTTTTTTCCTAATGAATGCAAAGAATGAGCTGTCTAAGTCACCGAAACTCCCCAGGTGCCCGATGTCCCAGAGCAGGGTTGACAGGCGGGTGCTGCCAGCTGCTGACCAAAGGGCTTTTACATCCCTAGACAGGGTTGAAACAAACAAACAAAAATATGACAGTTTTGGAACTTCCTCTTTTCTCCCCTCACTGAGGCTTGAGGAAAATCATTGTTTCTGTAATAGTAGACATTTATCTTCAAATGTCACCACTTCTTCAAAAATGAGGATGAAAATCAGTGAATTCGTGTCTACCCAGACAGAAGCCAGTCTTCGTGCCCTGCAGAGAGACTTTTCCAGTGAGTTTTTCAGGCGAAAGGCTGTTGCCCATGAGACCTGCTCTGAATGCAGACTTTAAATTTTCAGTTCACATTTATCATAAAGAGACTGTAAGAAAACCTAAACGTACCTAAGTTCAGCATTTAAAGATCAGTCTTTTGTAATTCTGTATCATTCAATCACATGCAAGAAAAGTGTTTTCTCTAAAACCCATATTAGAAACACCTAAGCGATCGGGCTGGATAGAGCTGGGTGGACAGAGCTTGGTGGACAGCTCTTGGGCACCTCTGGGCACCATTTCCTCATGAATTCATTCTTTAAAAGGGAGGAGGACTAAAGTTTGTTAAAACCAATGGAATTTTATCCTTGAGAAATGTTAGTACACCACTTGTGGTTATAAAACTCCTAGCAGTGTTCTATAGTTCTGATGTGAGGCCCTTAGGACTGCTCTGGACTGGGGGGCATTGGGGCTCCTTGCACTCAACCACCATGTGCCGGGCTGCAGAAGTGCTGCCGCTGGCTGTACCTCAACCAGGCCACCAAGGCCTGGAGGAGCTGTGTGTCGCAGGGGCGGGGTGTCTCTGGCTCCTGGTGGTGTGAATGAGGTAGGTGATGGATGGCCAGTGTGATGCCTGGAGAGTCCTCGATGCTCCTGCTCTGGGAACCTGAACTGGGGCCACTTGTGTTGCACCGGATCCTTGGAGAAGGTGGCGGACTCTGTCAACCACAGCTCGCTGTGTGGAGGGCAGTGAGGATCCGGCCTGACTGTTCAGATGAGGTAAGAGGTCAGAGAGATCCGCACAGTGTCCCCTCTCTGTCTGCTTCCGGTCACCCTCGGAGCCTGCTGTGGCTGTCCTCAGTGGGTTTCACCCCGGCCTGGTGCTCCTGGCTCAAGGCCGAGTGGCGGACACCCCTTGCCCGTGTGGGGGGCGGGGGAGCTGGCTGCAGGTGCCCAGTGAACCCTCTCCCAGCCCTAAGCAGTTTTCTTCTTTCTGATCTCACCACCATTAATGATTTCTCAGGGGCTTTTTTTTTGTTTGTTTGTTTATGATGAATTTGGAGTCAAAGAAACTGTATTTTAAAGCCACTGACCTAATCACTGTCCGCCCTTCACGGAACTACATTCACTCTGAGGAAAGTGGAGGAGGTGGGTGCTGATTCTCAGCTGTGTCCTCTAATATTAATACTCTGGAGAAACAAAAATCTCAACCTACAAGCTTGTCAGAGATGGGAGCTGGCCTGGAGGTCCCTGAAATGAAATTGTATGTGAAATGCTCTCCCCGAGCATGTAAGTAGGAGAATCCAGTTACCCTGAGTTGGGTTCCCGGCATCCACCCCACCCCAAAAGCGATTCAAGTTGTTCTTCCTAAGGGGATACATTCTTCCCTGACGCTAATATGATGCTCAGACTGGGCTTGTTCGTATAGAGCTGTGTACACTTTCTTAATTTAATTTTCAAAATTCTCTGAGTTTTCTTTGATGTCCCAGAGCGCAGGCTGTGGGAAGCAGCTTGTGAGCTCCTTTGGTGCCTGGGTGAACGCCCAGCTTTCTCCAGGCAGAGGCTCACGGACTCCCCGGCTTGTCGGAAACAGGATTCAGGATTCGCCACTTTAATTGATTACCTAAGAAGTTCCCCAGAGTCAAAGGCATGAAGGCAACACTCTCTCCCCCCATGTTTACAAACAATAGCTGTTCCCTCTGTCTCCTGGGCCAGCATTCTAAGAAGCCTCCTTGCAGGCTGCTCTCTCTCCCTCTGTCCAGCTGGACCTGCTGGCTGCATACTCGGTGACGTGGCTTTAAAGGAACCCCTGGGTCCTGCCAGCTCCCTTGCCCAGGCCAGCAAGAGTGGTTTGCAATCGCTTGGGCAGTTTTCTGGACACTGGAACATAGGTGAAAAGCAAATACTCATCGCAGCAGTACACAGCGCTGGCCTGACCTGGACTTCAGCTCTCTGGTGGCTGTGTGTTGTGAAACAGCAGTGTTGCTTGTCACACACAAGGTGTCACTGCTGGTGCCGTGGCACGTGGGAGGAAGAGCGAAATTTTCAGGAGAGGACACGTCATGCTGTGGTAACAACGTGGCCCTGAGATAGTGCGTGTGTCTGCATGCGTGTGTGTGTGTGTGTGTGTGTGTGTGTGCACGCGCGCACGTGTTCTGTGCTTGCCTGAGTTCTCCCTGAGGCTCTCGGCTGAGAAAGGAGAGCTAATGTGGAACCCTCTGGTCACTTGGTGGGAAGCTCCAGCGGGAGCCCGGTGCTTGGCAGTGAATAGTTTTGCTATGACCCAGCATCCCCTGTAGCCAGGTGAGAGCCACAGCAAAGGACTCGTCTGGCCATGGGACAGGTGTGGCAGGAGCCCCGGGCTCTGTAAGTGGGCAAGGCGGGTGGGTGTCACAACAAGGCGAGGAGAAGGCCCAGGGCAGGGTGGATGTGCTGCTCGGGGCTCTGAAGCTGGGGATGGTGAGAGCGGAGGTCAGGAATAGATTTTGGAGGCGCATAAAGGAACCATTTGAGCTCCGCGTCTGCAGCTGTGCTGAATTCCTTAGCCAGCAGAAGTTTGGAAACACAACTGTCTCCTGGGCGTCATTGACCTGTGACTCCTAAAAGTGCCCTGGGGTTTATGCCAAGGACCTCTGTACATGGGGTGCTTTGGGGTAAGAATGCTGGGACCCTAACCTGCTTCGGCCTCTCACAGGGGCTGGAAGTGTCTCAGATCTGAGATATTTAAAACTTTAGAATATTTAGGTGTACAAAATGAAACATTGTAGAGTCGGGCCCCAAATCTAAACGCAAATCCATGTGTTTCCCTTGCCTCTTACACACAGCCCAGAGGTGACTTGGAACATCACTGTAAGTTACTTCAGTGACTTCTTTCGGAGCTTGTCGGAGCCTGCCCAAGCTGAGGGGCAGGGGCAGGGTCCCTCTGCCCTCAGGCTGACCCGGCACAGGTGCGGGGTGTCCTGGGCACAGGCGGGCAGGAGCACAGTGGTTCTACTCCGCAGGCGCCGCCTCCTTGAGGAGTCCCAGTCCCTGGGGAGACAAGCAGTGGATGACAGAGCCCGCCAAAGTGGTGTCTGGCTCCGCTCTGACTTATCCAGCTCCCAGGAGCAGCTTCTGCAGGTCAGCTGCAGCCTCTCTCCAGAGAGGAGTTCCAAGTTTTAGCTAATAAAAACCTGAACCTTCTAATTAAGTTTGCATTTCAAATAAACCGTGAATAATATTTGGAGCACAGCTTTACTACAGAAACTATTTATTGCCTGTTTGATAGTTAGCACGCATATCTGGGACTGTCTGTTCCACAGGCTGGAAACTGACTCCTCTGGTTACAATGCCAATGGCGTTTGGAGTTGGGGCTCTCAGGAAGTCAGCAGGGTGCAGTGAGGGAATGAGGACAGAGCTCTGTGCTGGTGATAGAGGCTTCACAAGACTGAGCTCAGCGGCATAAGCACCTGCCTTTTAAGCAGGCAGTTGTGAGTTCGATCCCCGGTACCGATAAAAAGGAAAAAGACAAAAAAAAACCAAAAAAAAAAAAACCCCAAAAAAAACAAACAAAAAA